AAAAAAAAAAAAAGCCAAACAGCCTGAGGCTGGTCTTAGACTGTTTAGTTAATTTGTTTGCAGTTGTTTTTCTCAGCAGATGTGAATATATTTCAGGTAATTTACTCCCATCCCTGTGCATTGCTCCAGAACACTTCCTTCTGAAGACGCGCAGGCTCCAAGCACGGCCTGGCCTGGATTAGCAGGAAATGAAGTAGCCTGTAGCAGCAATGCCGGTACCTGCTGCCCAAGCAGCATCTCAACAGGAAACCAGCAGCCTACAACCTCACCTGAAAGTGTATGTGGGACAAAATCAACCCCACGCTTCCGACTRTGCTTCCAGGAAAGCAAGCTACCTCTAGTCCTGCTCACACTCCAGTCTATTCCTTAGTCTCGGTCATCTGTTTAGGTCTGTTATAGTAGAGGCTCTTTGTTGGGATAGAGGTTATAACCAAGTTAAAATTTTCCATTAGTGTGACATAGTTATGCATAAACCGACAATAAGAGACAAAAGCTTTATATTTTGAAAATACACACACAAAAAACCAAAAAGATGGAAAGTAGGAGCTTCCTACTTAAAGATAAACAGACTTCTTGTTTCATTTTTAAGTTTTTTTTTTTATTTGGGAAAAGTGCTTCTTACAAAAGGCAGCTGCAAAACAATACATCAGAGACCTCGGAACAATTGCTCATTCCATTTAAAAGTGAAAGGAGAGGCAGTCTAGGGGACAAGAGCATCAGGAGAACAGATCACGGGGCATCCACGAGTCAATAATAAAAAAAAAACAAACAGTACTACCGTAATGCAAGGTTAAAATTCCTGTGGTGGAGCTTTGGTGGCCAAGGAAGTTGTTCTCAACGCACCTACAGCCGCAAACTGCCTGACTGACCCGGCAAGCAGCAGCTTCACCAGGCAACCTGCCCGGCTCGGGCGCCCCGGCAGCGCCCGGGCGGCGCAGAGATTTCCTAGCAAAGCCCGCGGCTCCGGTGCCTACCGGCGGGTCCCAGGGCTTCCGCGCAGCTCGGGGGCGCTAYGCGCGCCGGCCCCGCTCCGGCTAACCGAGGTGCTGCTCCTGGACACCCCGAATAAGACACAGCGAGGGGCTGGTTTATTAGGGAATGTCGTTGTTGAAGTTACACCTGACAGTTAAGATCACGGCCCCTGAGGGGGCCGAGAACACTACCCCAGTTTCCTGTCCAGTTGGAGGTTAGGCTTCATGCACCGAGAGGGGATGAAAGGGGGATTTGTTAGTTTTAACTTATACAGAGTCTTCCCCTACCCTTGAGGTCCAACTCTACATTTATCTGCATATACACATAGAGAGTTCTCCTTTCACAAAGACATTTTCCTTTCATGCTAAACACAGTAAAAACCCGGAACATTCACACCTGGTTCTGGTTACACAGTAGTAATAGTAATGTGCAAGTAAACAAGAGACCAAAATCACAAATGAAGGCGTGTACATGAGGGGGCTGGAACGGAGCTGATGCCAGAAAAAGTATTTGTGTCTGGCCTGAAGTCGGAAACACCGATACGAAGTCCATAGCAGGAAAAAGGCCATCAGCCAATTTTCGTCCCCACTGCATGGCCACTGCTCATTTTTGTATCTGGGCTCTTCAAAATGAGTGTGGAAGTCCTGTAAACACTTTAACCCTTGAACTGGGTGAACTCTGCTGGGTACACAGATGAAGCAACAAATCTAAGCTAACTGTYTGACAGTTAAATTCATTTTTACAAAAACTAACATTTTAAAGATTTATTTCTTGTTATTTGTTTAAACAGAGAAAAAACCAACACTCCTAGGGCGGGATGGGATGGGAAGAGA